CATGAATTTTAAAAGCACAGGTATTTGCTCACATACAGTAGCTGTTGCCCATTTAAATGGGAAACTAGAGAGCTTTGTTAAATTTTTATCTAAATCAAAGAAGATCGTGAACTTTTCCAAGGTTTCCTTGCACAAAACACCAAGTGGATCTGGGAAGAAGGGAAGCCAAGCTCCTCGTAAAAGGAAGCAAGCACAACCTGTTACTGAGAGGATTCCATTTTCTCCTGGCAGTCACTCAAATCATGATGCTTCACCTAGCACTGCTTCCACTTCATCTATACCAGCTTATTCTGCCCCTGCTTATGATGATACTTCAAGTCATTATCTTTCATCTTTTTGTCACTCTGATGCTTATGCATCTTCATTTCATCACTCTGTTACTCCTTGGTCTTCTGGCCATTTCCCAAGCTCTTACAATCATCAGGTGATTTTACCACAATCTACCAGCACTTTCAATTCCTTTAATAATGCCAGCATCAACTTCAGTCCTGTTGCAACTACTACATACAACATGCCATCATTGCCACAAAGCCCACAGGAGTATGAACCATTCAAATTGTGGTTCATTTCAGGAAACATCTCCAGATGTGTTGGCTGTGGAAACAAGTTTGTTAAACCTGCAGCTCCACCTTTTGATCTTTGTGTCCAACATAAGGAATGGCGTTCATTCACTCCAAAGGGACAGGATGAGCAAAAGTCCAAGTATTCAAATGCCTATTACCACTTAAATTTGTCTTGCATTCGACGTAACTGGGAGCATTTTTGTCATCAAGATCTAGTTATTCTACCGGAAGTTGAGCAGAAACTGACTGACTCTCACAAAAATTTTTTGCAGCAGGTTTTTGTGATAACTCATTGACTGTATAATAATTCTTTGTCAAATTAAAATCAGTTGAACTTTGCTTCATTTAACCAATAAAATGATAAATTCATAATTATTAAAATAAGTTTTATTACAAATAATGCTTCAGATTAATCAAAAATCATCCCACCCACATTCCAGTATTCCATTCCAGTATTCCAGTCCACCTTTCCAGTCCAGTGATTGTAGACAGCCGAATTCAGACCACTATATGGATTGTACCAGGTCCAGACGTAACACTAAAAGTAAGAAAAGATAAAGAGGATTCTAAAGGAAATCATTGGGCACACCTGATCTCTTGCAAATACGCTTGTAAAACCTAATAGCCAGAGGAACCAGATGAGTGCCATTAAATACCGCGATCTGGCATTTAGGATACTCAAGGATACTATAGTTTACTGAGTAGATCTACCCAAAACCTCTCTTCATCTTCTTCATTAAATGCTTGTATTATGACTCAACTGATAGCATCACTATCACCATAGATAAAAATCATTTTTGTTACTGAAGTTTTGTATGTTGTCTAGGCCATCATGGAGTTTGCTAGCATCATAGATACTGATGCTAGCATAGATATCTATGCTGCTAGGTCAGTCAGGTTCGTGGTCATTAACGCGGGGTCCGTACTTTAGTCTTTTCGGGTCCCTTGGTCGGGTCCTTGTATCGGATCCGTCGCTCGGTCCGTAAATTAGTCTTTTCGGGTCCGTTGGTCCGGTCCGGTCCGCTTATTAGGGACAACCGTTGAGGGTATAAATATCCCAAATGGGCGCGCCCGGCTACCCAGCCACTCCCATAGACCTGCGGCTGTACTGAAGTTACTGAACTGTGACTGCATAGATACCACGTGGATCTATGATCATGGCCGCTAATTCTCGAGAGGATTCTTCATCTCAATCGAGAATAAATTGTTCTTATTGTGAATTATCCTACGCTGATAAGAAAGGATTGGCTAGGCACATAAAGCAGTGCCATCCGGAGAGGAGTGATGAGACTGGGTCTCTACTGTGTCCTTTTTGTTTGTCGGCAAAGTGAGCCTTTTCAGTTTGCATGTATCAGAAAAATTAAAGAAAAAAAATTCATTTATTGTTGTGTAACATAATTTAATAGAATGATCAGGGGCGGATCTAGGATTGGATCCTTGGGTGGGCCTTGATGATTTGGGTGTGGTAATTAGTGGGTGTCGCCAACAAGGCCAGCATTCAGAGTCAAAATTTTGGAGATTAAAGCTGTTAAAATGAACTCCTTTGTGGTTAAAGAATTGTTTGCATAGTCATGCTTCACAGTTTACATAGTCATCCACATGAAAAACTTGATTTTAAATTACTGCACAAAATTTTTGGGTGGGCCTGGCCCACCCCTAGATCCGCCCCTGAGAATGATGCACAGTAATGATTAATATTTAAGGGTGGGCTACAAAATTGAGTGAGATTTATAGAATTTTAAGTATCATTCATTATGGTACCGTATATATACGCCATATATTATGTGCGGCAGGGGTGGATCTAGGCTTCATGTGCCAATAAATTACCGTATAGGGGGTCCTCATTCTATGGAACAGCAAGGGAAACTAGCTCATTTACATGACTTGATAGAGAGTGGTGATTTATCTTCATTAATTGGCTTTGTCATTAGAAAGAGAGGCGAGCTAAATGACACTTCAGTTTGGAAAAATAAGCTGATGAGTCACTTCAAAGGCAGGTCCCTCAATAACTGGGCCTTAGTTGTGCAAAGTGTAAATGAGGTAATAAGATTTAATTTTGTTCTGCTATAATTATGTATGTAGCTACTACATGAGGCGGGATGTGACTCTGAAGCAATGATGGAGCAAGTAGTCATGTTTGTATGCAGTGGTAAAGATGTTCAATCCTCTGACGACAAAATTCTAAAGGAAACATTTTCCGTATTAGATACCCTAACTGCAGAAATGAATTGCAATGAGGTAACATATTGTCTAACTTCGAGTATGTAACATGTAACTTAAACAGATACTTGAATTTCTGAGGACTGACGTCACAGTGGCAGGACGGGACGTAGTGGCAGTTGTTTTGAATGACATGGATGAAAAGCTGCCATATCCCGTGCCAGCCATCAGACAAGTGAGTGTCTTTCAAACTTGAAAAATCGTAATATAACTCATGACAGGCATTAAAGAGAACAGGTTCAGGAAAAACACAGGAGACAAAAAATTTCCTTCTACCCGGAGAAAAGGCACCTATTAAAAGGAATATAAATAGCCAAAGAAGAAAATGCGAAATTATATATCAAGAATGCTTTCATAGTTTGGAGACCATAAAAGGAAGTAAGTTAGAACATGCATACTTACTCATGCAGGGGATTCTGTTGGCGTAAAAATTCAAAAAAAAAATAATTTTCATACACCAGGTGTATGCATGATTTTAAATTTCCGTGACTCAGGGAATCTCATGTTTCCCATGCCCACATAATTAGTGTAACCCTTGCCCATTTTTTAATACATTAATGCCAGGACTTAAACAATATCAAAAGAAAAATCAAAAAAAGGCATTCCAAAAGAATAATCCGGGTCAGTCAAACAATGTTTGGAATTATTAGACTTTTTATTTTTCAGATAAGGAAATTGTGCTTGCAACTGAAGGTATATGTGCATATCTTTATTGATTTTAGCTATACATGCTATTGATGCATTTTATAGGTCCAATGAATACAGAGAAAGGTTAGTGAAAAGTCTGCAGTGATGTCGCCTTACCATCTCAATTTTTGCTCCAGCTGATACGGACGTTGAAGTCGTTACTCAAGGTATGTACATGTCTTTGTTGATTTGACCTATACATGCTATTGATGCATTTTATAGATGAATTGATGAATGTGGAGAAAGGTTAGTGAAAAGTCTGCAGTGATGTCACTTTACCATCTTAATTCAGCTGATACGGACATTACAGGACAGAGTGAAAGTATGTCCACATAAAAAAAGTTTGCAATGACATATCTGCATCTTTTTTTCAATAAATTTTCTTTAGATTGTACGACACTTAAACGAAAGCGGAAAAGTATAAACTAATAACTAAGGAAAAATAGTTGAATTTCTTTTGTAGGTAAACTTCATACATTAGTAGATGGCTTGTCCCATCTTGACAAGCCTCTTGAAAAGAGAAGAAAGAGACAGAAAGAATAGTGACAAATTATTATGGATTGTCTTATTATGGATAATGATTCATAATTTTTAACAATTGAAATTATAGCCAAGTGGGTATAACTAGGTGAATAATTTTTAAAAATTTATGTAAATTAATGAAAAGTAAAATATTGCCTACTTGGAGGGACAATGAAAACTAAATTTTAAAGACCAATATAAGGACACTGACACTATATACAAACACCAATGACACTACAAACACCACTGACACTACCGACACCACTGACACTACAAACACCACTGACACTACAGACACCACTGACACTACTGACACTGCAGACACCACTGACACAACTGTCACCACTGACACTACCAACACCACTGACACTACAGACACCACTGACACGAGTGACACTACAAACACCACAGACACCACTGACACCACTGACACTACAAACACCACAGACACTACAAACACCACTGACACTACAGACACTACTGACACTGCAAACACCACTGACACTACAGACACCACTGACACTACAGACACCATACTGACACCACTGACACTACAAACACCACAGACACCACTGACACCACTAACACCACTGACACCACTGACACTACAAACACCACTGACACTACAGACACCACTGACACTACAGACACCACTGACACGAGTGACACTACAAACACCACAGACACGAGTGACACTACAAACACCACAGACACTACATACACCACTGACACTACAGACACCACTGACACGAGTGACACTACAAACACCACAGACAACACAATGGTCATCACTCATTTACTGACCGACCTGACCGACCAGAGCGTTTTTACTCATTTACTGACCGTTCGGGTCGAGCCGGTTTGCTCTTTTACTGACCAGTATCACTGACTAAATTGGACTCATTTACTGACTGTTGCACTGACCAAAATGACTCAGTTACAGACCACCATACCCGCTGTTAGAGCAGCATACTGAGATACTGACTGCAGAATCA